CACTTCTCTTTTTGTTTTGACTGTTTTACTTTCATCTGACCACGTAAAGCACAATCACATACATGTTACATGTTTAAGGTGATGTAATAATGAGGACAGGAAGTGAGACCTGTCTCTCCCTCCTGGACTTGTAGCAGACTGATGAAGATGGATTTTTAACTTGATTTATGGTGAAATGCGCTACAACAAGGTCATGTCTTAATGCAGGACCTGCTCTCAGAGACATCACACTTTAATAATTACCTTTTGATTTATATTTTTTTTGTGTTTTTAGTTTCTCTTGTTTTGCTCTTAGGTCGTATGTCGTTTGTCATGTATTTTATCTGCTGTTATGTGAAGCGCTTTGGGCTCCTACCGAGTTGTAAAGTGCTATACAAATAAAGTATTATTATTATTATTATTACCAAGTTATTGTGGAACAATTGTTAGATCCTGATGTGGTTGTGGTACAGTATTTTAGTCTGATGTTTTCTCTGATTCAGGAACATCTGAACTGGATGGACATTCAGCCATAATACCTGGGACTTCTGGGGCCTGGTGATGATCCAGCCTGGTGCTGGTACAGACATTTCTCAGACAACCAACTGAGGTCTGATCAGTCTATCTGCTTGATCTGCATTTGGTTTGGTAAGTTTGTCTGGTTACTCACAGTTTGGTGAGTGCAGGCAGAGCAGAGAACGAGTTCGGCTTCACCGACAACAGCCTGTTCCATGATAAATCACTACAGAGGCACAAAGAGAGAGAGCAGGAAATAGAACTTGAATACTATGACTTCACTCCATGTCAGAGACAAACCGTGTACTTTTTACTGCACTACATGTACCTGATAAGTTCAGGTCCAGAATCAGATGAATCAAACCAAACCCAGTAGAACCATCAGACTCTATTGATCCCAGTAGGAAATCCACCAGCTATCCAGCAGGATGTAAAGTACTTCACAGTATAAGTATATAAGGTAGTTACCATCAGCTCCACCTTTACCAGCTGCAGCATTAAAGTGATGTTTAAACAAGGCAAGCTATAATAAAATGAGGAAATGATATACAGGTTACATTTTCTTCAGACCCAGCACTTCAGCACATTCCCTTCAAAATAGAAAGATGCTTTCTACATTTACAGTGCCTTGCGAAAGTATTCGGCCCCCTTGAACTTTGCGACCTTTTGCCACATTTCAGGCTTTAACAATAACAACA